TGTTGGAGTGTCTCGGACTATGTTCGCTCTGGCTGAGATCAAGGGGGACTGGCCCTTTCTGCGCAAGATCCTGAGGTTTGAGCCAAGCTTCACTGGGAATCGCGTGTGCCACCATTGCAAGGCAACAGTGTTTCAGCACGATCATCCCAAGTCTCGACTGGGGCGGAGGTCACAACTCTGGAGTTCCTGGCGACAATGCTGGATGAGAGTTGCTCCCCTTCGCCGTTGGTCTTGGTGAAGGGGTTCTCTTGCAGGATGGTGCAGATATGCACCATGCACTGCGTGAACCTTGGGCTTTGCTTCATGGTCAACGGGGCACTGCTCATGACACTGGTGCGAGGAGGCTTCTTGGGTGAGCCAGCTGCACTGGAACAATGCCTCTTCAGCGCCTTCAGTGACTTCACTGCATGGAGGAGGGCCAACCAGGTGAGAACCTCCCAGCGCCGCTTCAGAGCAGGGCAGGTTCCTGTTTTGCATTTGCACCCCTACAGGTCGAAAGACAAAGTTGGCAACCTGACCCCTCATTGAATAGTGTTTTGACAAGACCAACGTACAGTAAGCTTAAGGTCTTAGACCTGTAGGGACAGATTTTTCTGCTGCGTGGGACAGGTATGAGGAAACTTGAGTCCATCAGACAACGGCAGAGCATCAAACCCAGGTGGACAAGTTTTGTCACGGCTCCTACTTTGTGGCGAAAGCCTGGAACTCCAGGGTGCTGTTGGAGTGGCTGCACGATTCTGCCTTAAAGGCAACCATGAGGGACCTGCCAGGTCCAGGTGATGATACTTGGTAAAACTGGAGGGATGCAGATCTCCCTGCTAATTTCCACTGGACATGAACAGCTGGATCAGGGTCAGGGTAGACCACCTCCACCTAGACAGGTCCATATTGGACTCACCTGCTTCAGGACCGAACACTGGGCAAGTGGCTTCAAGCGGAGATCCAGGCTGGCAACCGCATGTGGCCAGATGACCCCTTGCTGGTGGTGAATCCACTGGCTTCGTCACTTAGTCTTAAATGAATATGCCAGCTGGGGCTGGTTAGACCCCCAAAACCCATCCCAACCACCTTCTCAGGAGGCGGGCCAGGAGCCCTAGGGGATGGTCCACAGACCTTTGGATGGAGTCAGAGAAAATTCCAGTGACTGTTCCAATTAGCTGGTCGATCATATGGCACCAGGAGACCCTGCTTTGGGTTTCGACCATCTGGTCTGTTCCTGAGATGATGTTGCCAACCTCATTCTCTCCTTGCCCAAGGCAAGCTCTTTGTGAGTGGTTTGGCCTTTGTGAGAGATCTGGACGGTTCTTGCACCATAGCCTGAAGTGGTGGGGGGGTGGCAGGACATGTTCAGTTCCAATGTTATTTCACTGATTGGGTGGCCTTTTTGGGTGATGTTAAAACTTCCATTCAAGCACACCAAATGGCAGGTGGCTAAGCCAAGAACTGTGGTAGGATGTGGTAGGCATTGTCTTCAAAGATTCAAGAGCACACATGTAGGCATCAATGATGCCAGAACTTATCAAAGATCACTTTGATTGCTCAGGACGCAGGATCAGGCTGATGCCATCCACAGTGCTGGGAAGCGCTTTCTGCACCACCACATCAGCTGCCTCGAAATAGCCAACAGGACTTCCGTTGAGGGGGGCGTCGAATTTCCCTTTATCTTAAAGACTTCAACGGCCCCTTGAGACCTGAAGGGCCATTTGAGACCTCAAGGTCCCTTCGCCATTGTTGAGTAAGTTGTGAGGATGGGGCTGCAGTGCTGGTTCTTGAAGTCAAAGGCACACATGTTCTGCCACGTTTTGGCTCGCACCAAGAGAGAGCGATTCTTGGCTGAGTGTGTCTTTGGATGACATTGACTGGTCTTTCCTCTAGAGGAGAACTTGATTTGCAGGTTTGAGCTGGTAATTCCAGGTTCAAACAGGCTTCACTGGTCTTTTGGGAAGAGGTTTCTGTGGTCTTTTGGGTCAATTAACCTGTTCTTCTATCCCTGGATTTGAGCATCTCAGGACTGAACTCGAGGTTCTCGCATTGCTTCTCAGAAGAAGACACCATCGGGATGATCAAGAAGCTGTCATGTGCAATCTCTGGCAGACACATGGAAAAGTTCCTGGCCAAGATTGCGAGGCTCCGCTTGAAGTGTGCAAAGGCACGCATGCGCAGGACAGTTTGGCTCTCTGATTGCATAGTACCATTCAGGTTGGTTACTCATTCTGCAGCATCTTCTTGTTGTGAATTTGGATGGCATGCGGCCAAGCCAAGAACCGCAGCTAGGAACCAAGAATTTGCAGTTGGGTGGCAAGTGGCTAAGCCAAAAACCGTGCTAGCATCACTAGCATGAATGGAACTGGACTTGCTCTAAAATTGTTTTCCAGGATCGATGTGGATCTGGTGTGGCGACGATGACATGGCAAGGACTGGCAGTCTTAGCATCTTCTGATGGCAAGAGGCTAAGCCAAGAACCGCAGCTAGGACTATAGAATATGCAGTGAACATGTGAAGGTTCACATACAACATCACACCAGGAGGTAACGTAACGTGATTTAATGAATTTGGTTACTGTTTTGAGTGTTTTTTCATCGATTTGTGCAGGATCTATGTGGGCTCTGGTGGCGACGCCAGTGTGGTCATGACAAAAGGGCGGTTCTTCCGACAAACGCGATGACCTCGTAAAACTTGATCGTTCTCAGATGACCTCGTTAAACCTGCACTTCGGACTTGCAGGGTATATTATATAAATATAATATATATTATATTATATTATATTCATCTCATATGTTCATCAATTTGAAGAGGGGTAGCATAAAAAGCAACCAAGCTGAGTGGATGGGAAACGATCCCACGACCTTTGGAAGGCATGGTGCACATCGTCACACCCTTCGAGTTCCTCCTGCCCTTCGGACGAGTCAAACACCTGAACAGGAGCCCCTCGTTCATGCTGTTGAACAAACATGTGGTGCCAGAAAGGCACCCTAATGACCAACCAAAAGGACATAGTTGTCTATGTTTACATGATTTCATATTATTACTATCAAGTTCTCACAAAATGTTTCAAGTGAACAGGAAACACCTGACCGCCTCTACCAACACAAAATCTGCCCCCAAGAAAAACACACATCAACACTGCCGTCACCAGTCAATTGAATGAGTCGAGGAACTCGAAGACACGGGTGATTCTTCGCCGCTTCACCAGGTCATTCCTCAACGGAATGGGATGAACACACCGGGGCACATGGTCCTGGGCACCACCTCACTGAATGGAAGAAATCGATGGGAAAAACCGGAGGAAAACAAACGAAAAACACACTCACACAAAAATCGACCATTTGATGGTGAAATGTGAGCTTGATGAGCAAGATAAATGCGGAACCTGCTGCTCAAGAAAAAACACCCTACAAGAACTTGGGTTAAGTCACTCGGTCTTGCCATGGCTTGCCAAAAAAGAACCTAAAGCATTAGAGATAAGTCACCCAGCTTGAGAACAATCACCCCCTTTAAGCTACAACACCATGGGAACGCTTTACGAAAGTATGTTTTCGAAGGTTTTCGACAGCTGTAGCATGTCAAGGATGTATATAGTGTCCATGCGCTCTGCCAAATTTTCTCTTTAGGGGGACCGGAAATACCGAAACCCAATAAGAATGCAAGGTTAGTTCCATCCATACAATTTCATTTTTGGGAAAGCATGCCCGGCCTCGCGCAAGTCCCAGGTACCCACAAAAAATGAACTTCAGCGACCCCACACCAGCCACAGCATGTTGAAAAAGTGCTGGTTCCATGATTGATTCTCCAAATGCACCTATATATATATATTAGTTATATATTGTATCCTATATATATATATTGTCCTTGATGCAAGCCAGCAAATGGTATCCTATCAACTTATTTGCATAGGGTGTTGAACTAACCCGCATGGAAACACGCAAGACCAAACGACTTGGCGCATCGACTAGTATCATCGGGTTTAGACATATCTGTGTTCACGCAATTTTCGTTGAGACGGGAAGGTTGCGACATGTTACGAGTACGACTTCTTTCTCGACTTCTTCCATAAAGTAGGGAAATGATGGGAAATGAGGGTCTGGGTCCTCTGGAGAGCCAGCTTTAGTGTTCGTCAGAAACGGAAGTAAGCCAATCTAGCTCTGACATAGCCAGGCACACTAAACTTGAACAGAAAATAATGATCTATAAACCACTCCGCACATTGAGCAAATGTCAGCTTTCAGCTCTTGGAGGGAATAAACAAACCTCCTGTTCGAGGTTTGGTATATATACTGCGTGTATATATATATAAACTAAACCACCTGTAGATTAGACTCTCTCTCTATATGTATATAATATATATATATATAATATGTATGTGCGTGTTGTTTTTTGCTCTGAGCTAGCCCTGAGCTACAAAATGTAACAGCCCCGGTGTCTGGATGCGCTCCGCGTGCTTCTTGCGCATGTCCAGCAGCTCAGCCATCTCAGGACCCGTGATGCCATTGCAAAAGCGGCTCCCACAACGGACCAGGTCCTGCTAGCATGGTCGTCTTCTTCGAACCGAACGGATCGCGGCTGTTCGGCCTGGCCTGGGTCTGGATGGGTCCGGATAGGGCTGAAAGGAAGCACGAAGATGACCGTGAACGAGTCATGACCATGTGCAGTCAGCCATCGTGGATCATCAATCCAATTGTTGAAGATAGATGGGCCCCCCAAAAAGAACAAAAACACCCCACCTTTAGCTGCTAGCACCCCCAACCTCTCTCTGTGCTCAAAGGTCCGCCTGCCACCCATTTTGTCTATATTCTTCTCACTTGCTTACAGCTTACAGCAGCCACTTGCGGTACCTGCCAAACCACCTTCACCTTCAATCACACCAAGGTACCCGAAGGTACCCCACCGCTGGTCCTCCGCCTGCTGGGTGAAGGACCTCTCCATAATCCGTGTGGAGCATTTCGCAGGGATCGGCTCCAAACTCGCCTCGGTTGGCCCGGCTGAAGGAAGGACTGGCCTGCTCTGGGGACTCCTAAGCGCCCAAGTTTGTGGAATGTCAAGTTCCATTTCCATCTGAGACTCTAAAAATCTCTAAACTACTTGTGGTTGGACCTGGTTGGATGATTGCGATGCTCGACGGGTCTGAGTGCTGAAGCTTTGAAGCTTTGAGACATAAGCGTCCAGACGGGTAAGTATATATAGTGTGCGCATCATATACGCACTGTGCACCCCCCAAGGTTTCTGTCAATTCAATGTATTCAAGTGTAGATTGGGGATGGATCTGGAACGTAGATTTGGTCTGATGATGCACCGGCCAGATCAGGTCTACCCCTTCCGCGACCCAGCTACGACGGTGCTCGGACCACATCGGGTCAAGCGGGTCGGGGGGAGCCCAGCCATGCCCAAAGAGTTTCACTGAAAGAAAATCACACGAGACTTGGAGGTGAAGGATGTAAACATGTTGGGATGAGTGTTTGGTCGCAGCAAATGAGTGCCCAGGCTAGTGCCCAGCCCCCTGTGCAGTGACTCATGTAGAATCGTTCAATTAGTATTATGATGTCTTATGTTTCAGCCCCCCATATGAAGAGGTCTTATGTCTGGAGGGTTGAAAAATCATCCAGATTCGCTCATTCCCAGTCCTTTGCAGCCACTCCGCCCCCCTTCGCTGCCATGGCACGGAGGGAATGTGATTGGCGCCCACACCGGGCGTCGCGTGGGAATCTTTCGAACTCGAAGAGGCTTCTGGGCCTGAAGGAGTTCACTCCGGCGCCAAGGAGGCTTCTGGGGCTGCGAACGCAAAAGGAGCCTTTGACTTGGTACGCAAAAAGCCAGTGATCTCTGCAACATTGAAAGATTTTAAGCATTTGGCAGCTGAGGGTGAGCAACCATTTCTTGACTCCACTGCTGCATCTCAGTGCAGTTGATATTGTTGGAGTGACCCTTGGCCGATTCCAGCGCCCAGCTGTATGCAAGCCAACCCATCACAGGACCTGTGGTGTCCATCACTGTCACCAAAGACAAGGAAAGAAAACACGGCATTCGCCCAAGAAACGGGTGGTTTCAACGTGGCTCCGCGATTTCTTCCCTTTGCACGTCCCAGGAGCCCTCTGTGATGGCCAATAAGGGCACCTCCTTCTCGCTGTCCCCTCCTGAGGCGGGCGTGTGGGAAAGAGGGCAGTTATGTAGCCAAAAAGAGAACGAACGGCTGATCAAGACATACCAAACCTATCACATACCTGGGCACACTGGGGGCAGAACCCGTCACACGACATGTTTCAGTCTATAGTATATAAGAACTGGGTGAACTCAGTAGTAGCAGTCACTATCAAGTAATGTCTGGTGCTTGGAGAGCTTGGAAGGAACATCAAGCACTTTGGGGGGCTTCCGTAGCACTGGTATCCAATAAATATAATAAATGATTCCATCAACTCGAGAAGAATGTCCAGTCACCAAAAGTGATCGATACAATATCTATATCTATATATATATGTAATATATGTCTTGAGTTTTTCACATGTCCAGTCGGTAGAAGAAAGAAACACCCACATCCAGCCCGTTCGAAAAGAACCACGGAGCCTCCTCGGCCACAACACGAGCAGCTACGAGCACCCCATGCGGCGCCGTCCTCCCGGCACCGTCCGTCCGAGGCGCCCGGTTGGTGCGTGCCCGGGATGCACAGAGCGTCCCGGAAGTGCCTGGAGCGCTGGTCCCAGACCCGGACGCACTCCACATCTCCGGAGGCCACGAGTTCCGTGCGAAGGCGCATGTAAATCTTGCTGACCTCAGACTCGAGGGGGAAACCGGTGGGTGAAACTCCCAGCACCTGGTGCTGGGAGAAGTCCAAACGTTTGGATCCCAAAAGAGCAACTCTTTCATTAGGCCGCCTTTTTGCATTCGGCTTCTTTGGAGATGAGGATCTTGTGTTCAAATAGGGAGGATCTTGTTCTTGGAGGATTCCCCATATCATCGAGAGGAAGGCTCTATGGAACAAGCGCTCACACATCTGTGCAAACAAGCACTCACCTTGTTGAATGCCATGATTTCCTTTGAAAGATCAAAGTACCGTTTGAACTGATGCTCTTGCAAACATGAAGGATATAATACTTGAGAGAGGAGGGGGTGAACAAAAGGTAGCAGGCAATCACAAGCAACCCTGGTAAAAGTCCATGACGGCGTGAACCGGCGCAGGGGGGTTTGATCCAGGGGGGGGCCCCCCCCCCGACGAACAGAATCAACTCTTACAGGACCAAACTCAATGCACAATCCCAACTCCTGATTGTAATACATTTTTGCTAAAGCAAGCTCAAGCTACCTTTCGTGATAGACATATATATATACTTGTAAGAAAGTACTGTTCACAAACAACTGTTTACTAGACCTAAACCAAAGAAGACTTGAACATATAGAAAGAAAACCGCGCGCCAAACGCCCGGAACCGCTGCAAAAAGAAGTTAGCAGTGAAGACATTCAAGACTGTGTGAGGGAAGACCGGTTGACAACGTGTATAGAACGTCTTGATAAGTTGCCACAGATTCAGGTTCCAAAACGTCTGAACCGCTTAGTGGCTGCCCCGACTCGGTGGCAGCCCAAGGGAAACTCTTCAGAACTTTTGGTGGAAGCCTTTGCCTGCATTGGCCATCATCCACCTCTACAGGCTGGGAGATGATATTTCGGAACCGTTCTCAAGGACTGCCTGAACGATCTGAAAGGAGGCTTGTAAGGAGAAACCTCCAAAAAGTGCAAGGAAAAACATTGGGGAAAGGAATGGTAGTAGCTTGCCTAGGGCTCCAACTACCTTCTTAGAAGGTGGTTGGGGTGCGTGTGGGGGGTTGACCACCTTCTGAGGATATGGTCGGAGCCCTTTGCCTTGAAAAAGATGTGAACGGCCACAGGAATCGGAAGAAGTGCCAGGCTCTCTATGAGTCACATAGACGAAAAATGAACCGTCAGTCTCTGATTGAATCATATTGAATTTGGCGCTATCTTTCTTTCTTTGTTTCTTTCTTTTTTATGTTTATTTATTTCTTTATTGCGTTCTTTCTTTCTGTTCTGTTCTGTTCTGTCTTTCTTTCTCTCTTTCTCTGATGCTACTTCGAATGCTTTATTTGGGTCATTGGAGCTAGTCTTGGCGCAGCCAAGCTGTGGAGCAGCTGCCATGGAACGTGCTCGTACTCTCTTAGCAAGTTGAACGCAACAATTGCAGCACTTCCAGGAGGCCATTCAGCGTAGCCGCCGCCAAAGCGGTTGCCCCATCTTTCTGCTGCATTCTTGTCAGCTCCAGCCTCGAGCAACAACTCCACCACTTCCAAGTGGCCATTGGAAGCTGCAAACATCAAGTCCCACAGGCCATTGTCCCACTCACTCGATCAACAACCGCACTACTTCCATGTGACCCTTGCTGCACCCAGCAAGGTGGTTGAATTGTCCGCTGTTGTCACATTCATGTCAGCCCTAGCATTGAGCAACAACCGTACTAATTTCACGTGCCCATTCAAAGCTGCAGCCATCAAGGCCGTATCACCATCTAGAGTCACCGCGTTCATGTCAGCTGCGGCCTCGAGTAACAATCACGCCGGCCTTTCAATGCTGCAGCGATCAAGCTGGTTACCCCATTTTGCTTTGACGCATCCAGCCTCGAGCAACAACTGCACGACTGCCAAATGGCCCCGTCGTGCCCCAAGACACACAGGTGGAGCGTCAGTGTCTTCTGCACCACTCCCATTGGGATCCAGTGGTTTCTGAAGCAACTCTTCAACGTCAACAACTCGGTTCTTCTTGCAGGCAAGGCGTAGTGCCTCCCAACCTCTTTAGGCGCACACAGATCGAGGATTACCAATTGCCGATAAGCCTCTGACAGGCATATCATCCTGAAGCTTGCCCATGTCTCCTCTCAAGAGTCTTTGTGGAAATCGTGGGTATCCAACCCGACGGGCCAAGAGCTTCTTCAAATCTCTGACAGAACTTCTACTCTTCACCATGCACCCCAATTCCTCCTCATCAAGCTGGGCGACAGTGGCAACCAATAGTGTTGTAATTTCCATTGCTCAAGCCCTTAAGGAAACGGCCTTCCATGGTATCAGCCAAAACTCTCTTGGTATCTTTCTCTGTCTGTCTCTTTTTTTTTCTCTCTCTCTCTCTCTCTCTCTCCCTCCCTCCCTCCCTCCCTCTCTCCCTCTCTCTGCCTCTCTCTCCCTCCCTCCTCCCTCCCTCTCTTTCCTTGCCTACCTGCTACCTGTTGATGATGAAACCTTAGCCGCTAATAGCCTTCCACAACCTCATAGCTATCATACCTTTATACTAGCAAAGGAGACCACAGGTGCCGCTTGAAATTCCTGTTCCTTCTATATGCCATATATATATTAATATGTATATAATATATATATATATATGCGGCAGCTGACATGGCAAATATCTATACTTTTCTGTATGCAATGCAATGTCTATCGAACTCCTGAGGAGGTGGGAGAATCACCTCCGCATCTGATCCCTCGTTGAAAGATACAGTCCTCACAAGTCCTCACCGATGGTGAGCCTATATAAACAGAACAATAACGCTGCTCATGCCTGGAGCATTAGATTCTATACAATCCAAGTCTTTGCAGAAATTGCATCTGTTTGTGCCTCTTCATCGGATGGTCATTGATTCCAGCCCCGCCCCCACCAGTTCAAACAATAAAGCAAACTCTTCTACCATGGGGTGCTTATCTGCAGGGTCTTGAACCTCCATTGCAACCATGCATGTACCTGATCAGAACATATCAGAACACAGCAGGTTCACGTACTGTAATTATTAAGTCTTGGGGTCTTTACATTACTGGTGGTCAGTGGTCAAGGTATGAACATGACATGTGTATATAATATATATATATATATACATATTGATGTGTGTATGTCAGATTGTCAAATGATCTCATTGTGTAGCTGTCGGAGCTCCACACCGTCAACTCCCTCCCCAGTTCGAAAGACGAGGGGCGGTTCGACGGGACATGCCGGGCCGTGAGGTCTCTTCCAGCGATTCCGCCAGCACCGAGCGTAGGTCATTTTCAAAGCCTGAGATTGGCGGGCACCGGTGGCCACCACTGGTGGTCATCCCAAGCGTCATTGGACAAAGAAGAGAAAAAACATCTTTGGTGTTTGTGCTTGAGGATTAGGAATGTGTTTGGCAGTTTGGTCTTTTTGTTTGGCAATGTTCCACTGAGCTTCAAGGATGTTCAATATTGCAGCTTCTGGGCAGTTTCTCTCAGCATGGACCAACAAGGACGAAACAACATGAATGCACATCAAAAACAGTGTGGCTGAAGAAGTCGAAAACACGACTGTGTTCAAACCTTCTCGTTGCTGCGGGAGAGTTCTTTGAGCCGTCTTCATCTACAGGATCTGAAATCAATTCTTGTCAAGAGTCCCACTGAGGAGTTGATCTTCAGCGCATGTAAAATTTGGTTTTTAAGCCTGGAAGATGAACCCTGAAGGAGCACCTCGATCTGGGTCTGTTCCACGTTGTCCTGAACTTGCCAGCGCCAGGCTCACCCACCAACGCCGACCAACTAATCCTCTAGGACCCTAGGAAAAACGGATGCCCGTACGGTTTCATAAGCCCAAAGCCGTCACGGCTCCACAGCCGTCTCAAGGAGGCCGATAAACAAACCAAACATATAGATATTATGTGTACAACATGTATATAACTATTATATAACCCATGCAGTTAGCATAGGTAGAATAAACACACCACTGGATGGAATAATCAATCCACAGCACCATGCCCGCAAAAAAACAAAACGATTGATCATCCCGAGCATCTGGATCAAAGAAACGGGAGAAAACAAAATGGTTTCCGTGGACTTGCGCTTGCACAGCTGCACCCAGGGCCAGTGGCGACGCTGAGTGGGACACCCGGAGAGTTCTTGTTTTTTCGGCAGCATCGGCGTCCTTCCTGAATCCACCCCACCAGGCGAGGAGGGATCAAGGCCAAGGAACACCAACTTGGTGGCCAAACCCGGGAGACAAAAGGACCAAAACTCAAAGCTTGCTCCTTGTGCTCTGCTCAGTTGCGCAATCGCGCCCGAAGATTCTTTGCCTTCTTTCCCTGTGTGCAGTGCAACCACGCCAACCAAAAGGCCCGCAGTTCTCAAGCCTTCCATTGGATAAAACCTCACTCACGGGGCTTGCTGGGCCCTGAAACTTGAAGGGAAGCGAAAAGGGTGCAGGGCTGGGCGCGCCAGTGACATGCATGGGCAGAACGAACGCTAATGCGTTAGGATCAACATTGCGCGGTTGAGTGGTCTAGCTAGCATTCCCATCTTTTGTTACAAACTTGGTGGAATCAAAAGTTGCCCCATAATACCAAAGGCAATCTGCAGGAGAAACAGCCGGAAATACCACCAAAAAACTCTGACACTCCCTGAAATAATCATGGAAGTGGAAAAAAACTCATGTTCCACTTCCACGATTTTTAAGTCAGGGAGTGCTCCATGGAGGACAAAATGCAAGAGACCCCAAGCAGTGTGTGTGAGGTCTATAAGTCTATAAGCAGAAAGTCTAGAGTCTAGAGATTTAAACGCATTGGGGTGCAAAGATGTGATGGTGGTGAGTGTGAGTGGGAGTGTGTGAGTGGGTGACGAGTGAGTGAGTGAGTGAGTGAGCGAGGGAGTGAGTGAGTGAGTGAGTGAGTGTGAGTGAGAGAGTGAGTGAGTGTGTGTGAGTGTGTGTGAGAGAGAGAGAGCGTGAGTGTGTGTGTGTGTATGTAAGTGTGAGTGAAAGAGTGAAAGAGTGAGAGAGCGAGAGTGAGTGTCAGCGTGAGAGTGACAGAGTGAGAGCGAGTGAGTGAGTGTGAGTGTGAGTGTGAGCATGTGTGAGTGTGAGTGTGAGTGAGAGCGGAACTGCGGTGGAACTCAATGTCCGTGGATCCACCGGAGCTTTCGCAATCCACAGTGACCAGAGCGCACCTGGGTGTAACCACGCCAGGTGCACCACATAAAAGAATAGCTGGATGTAACCACGCCAGCTCACTCTAGCAACAAGAATCTGAAGAAGACAGAGGTCTAGATGCCGGGAAAGTGGGTTAGAGAGCATACATAGGAGAGCAAGCTAGAGGTCGAGAAGTCCAGAGAGCACACATCTGAGAGCACAGTCACCAGAGCACACCGGTGCGTAACCACGCAATGCTGCGCCACAAAATCTACACGAATCTGCACTTCGAGGTTGGCAAAGTGCTGCGCCTGGAACGAAATCTACACAACGATGTTCACAAAGCGCTGTGCCCACGAAATCTGTCTGCACCTCGAGGTGCGAAATCTGCACTTCGAGGTCACAAAATGCTGTGCCTGCCACAAAATCTGCACTTCAAGGTTCACCAAGTGCTGTACCTGCCACGAAATCTGCACCTCGAGGTTCACCAAGTGCTGTGCCTGCCACAAAATCTGCACTTCGAGGTTCACCAAGTGCTGCGCCTGCCACGAGCCACATGTCCAGAAGTCACGATTCACTGCACCTGTCACGAAATCTGAGCTCCTCGACGGCCACCACCATGTCCAAAGTGCTGCACCTGCCACGAAAACTGCATTTCGGATTGAAACAGCTCGCGCCTGTCACGAAAAGTCGACTTTGGACCACCAAAACGCAAGGTTTCCCTTGCGCCTGCCACGAAAAGTGACCACCATGTGTGAAAATGCGCACGGCACCACAACGAGAGCGCAGTCGCGACACGCACTCGTCGCCGCCACCCAGATTTTGCGAGCCTGCGCAGTCTGAAATGCACTTCGAGGATTTTGAGAGGCATGAATGTACTGTAAATAGCAGCGAATTAGCCGGACACGCCGCGCGCTTCAGCGATCTAAGCATCAGCTGCTTTACTCCTACCGCAAGAACCCCTAAGTGTGTGCACATGTGTCCACACTGTTTGGGGAACAACGCATGTGAAAGCTGTAGGCCTTCGGGTGTTTCTCCACGTTTTGCACAAGTGTTCCTGCACATCCAAGGCGGCAAATCCCGGCTGCTCACGCCCAACTGGGCAGACAAACTCTCCTTAAAAGGCGACAGCGAACAGCATCCAAACCTTCAATTGTCTTCAGGTAGGTCTAACTATATAACTAAATAGGTCAATATAGGTTGTGGCTGACCATGGAACATTTCAACCGTAAGTCTATACTGTCTGTGGTGGCAAGAATACAATCATTTCATGTTGGTGAGTGTGTGTGTGTGTGTACTTGAGAGCAACATCGAGCAACACATATACTGAGAAATCATGAGAAATCTGCCACGCATGTCTGTGTGCGATGAATCACCCACTCTATCATTCGATCACTCGCCATGGTTCCCCAGAGCATCCTCTCTGCCGGGCTTTCGCCACCAACTGAAGCGCCTTCACGGAGAGCTCGTTGGTGGCTAAGTCCGGGTGGGCATCCAGCAACAGCAGCCGTTGGCGCACCTCTTGTGGCACATCCTGGCTAGTTGTACAAGGTCCGTCCCGGGTGGACATGAGCATAACTAGCTGCAAAGTCATATCATGGCGTATGGCGCATCATATGGTAACCCAATAGGTGTTGATCAAAGATTATCAAAGTCGTGGACCGGTGGGAACGTACACGTACGACTTGCGGACAACTGCCCCTTGGGTACAGAAAGTGGTCACACAGTGGCTACCACGTCGCCAAATGAAAAAGGACTTAGCTATTGTTCCTGATGAACCGCTGGAGTGTAAGACGTCCCGAAGAGGCGAACAAGATGGTTCAAAAAACCTTCCAATGAATTGCATGTTTTGTGTCACCAGTGGGTCAACCTTATTATGCAAAAAAAGCAATACTAAGACGCTTGGTGTTGAATTTGCCAGATCTGGGAGGTTTTGTGCAAAAGCTGGTGGAGAAAGCGGGTCAAGCAGTGTGGAAAGCCATGTCAGCTGCCGGGCAAGTTTGGCCAGTTTGTTCACTGTAAGTCTGCAAAAAGCGACATCGCCTCATTGGATTCTTTGATGGTAATGGGCGACGATGTGGCCATCCAAAATGTGCGTCCAAATCCCAAATGGACTCCCAAATGGATGAGACTAGTGACTAGTAGACTTCACCTTAGAACGCACGGGGAAGACCTCACCCATGGCATACATAGAGATAACTAACGGACTATCTGAGCCGCACGGAGTCCATCACCAATCCCAGGCCTCTCTCCATTCAACCGCTCCCGGTCTCCCGGTCGGTCTCCCGGTCCCGCGGGTCCCGACCAGTCGACTCGCGGACCCCGCGAAGAAACCCCGAGCGGATCGTCTGACAAGGAAGTAGTGTTCGAAGCATTGTGCTGCCATCAATCAATCATTAATACACACACATATATATATATTTATATATTAATTAATACAGCACTATATGTGTATATATATATATATATGTTCGACCATATATAATATTATATATATAAATGTGTATACACACGACTATATATATAGATATGATATTTTAATTACTCCTGAAGCATCGTGGAAAGACGTTGAGAGAAGAGGCTGGTCCGGGACCAGTTATATAGTAACTATTGGTGTTTCTGAAAGTGTCGAAGTGGAAGTCCACTTTGAACGGGGCACATGTTCGGCCGGGGCACACACAAAACCGCGACCGGGGCCGAAAGGTGGCAGAAAAGTAAGCACACCCCAAAAACCGGACTGCCAAGGGCACTGATCTTCTGATTCTGGTCAACACAAATGTTTCATAATGAGAAGGAAGACACAGGACACACACGGCGTGACATCTTGATTCCTTTTCGCAGCCCCAGCGTCATCCGTCTGCTGATAGGAAGGGGGCCAAGTTCTAACAGGCAAAATGGGTGTGCGTTGATGTGGCTTGATTCACTTCACCCAAATAAAGTACTTCACACCTTTTTAGAGGCCGGCCAAACGGCCAAACCGTCCAAAAACGCGTGGCGCGTTCTGGTTGCGTGCAAGGATCTAAAACAATCTGCTGGTTGGCGCTGGGTTCTGGCACCTTGCTTCCCCTGCCCGACACGCTCTTGCCGGCTTTGCCGCGGAGGAGAATCTTGCTGCTGGAGGAGACTTCTGCCCACAAGGCCTTTCCTGGGACAGCGAACGGGCACAGGAAACGAGCGGTCCATTGACAGAACCCGACGCGGTGAGCCATATGAAAGGTGAGCCGTTGGTCAGACCTCAAAAAGAGGGCAAGTTACAGACCTCAATCCATCATCCTTACTAGTAGCGATGCACTTTGCTGCTATAGTAGTAATGCCCTTGTTACTTGTTCCGCCAAAAACTTTTGCAGCAAAGTCTCTCACATGTTCGTCCACCTTCGAGCCGCTTTCTTTGAGCCGCTCCAAGAGTTTGGGCCAGGAAACTCCCGGAGGGCCCTCCCACGCGATTTCTTCCACTGCAGTCTTCAATAAGGCGGTCAACATCGCCCCTGAAAGAGCCCAATGGCGGCGACAAAGAACAGCTCTTGCGAGACGGATTCTGTTTAGGAAGGACGCCTGGCTGAAGGTTAGAAATAGCCCCTGGAGAATGAGCAATTCAAAGAACTTATTCATGCGCAACTCAAACATCGCTAACACTTCATCCACCTATGACTGACTCGACCACTGCGTCGACCACACTGCATGGATTCAATCTCACCCCTTAACCTGTCAAATGAACTTGATCTGATCCACTTCTACCCAAATTCTTTCCGACGCCTGCTGTCCAAGATCCTCTTCGGACCAAAGGCACACAGTGCCTGTTGCTGTGCGAGGGCACGTCCCTGGTGACCCTTTGTCATGCGCGGTAAAGCACACCACGTGATTGTTGCAATGAAGTCATTGTTCCTGGTGCCTATGATGGCATAAGTCTTAAAATCAGCATCTCAAAGGGAACTGTCTCAACACGTCTTCGCCCGTTGATTGCAAACGGTTCTACGAGGAGGCACATGAAACCATATCTTACGCTTCTGGCCTAGACCACTTGGCGGGGCATCACGGCTACTGTAGGCATCAGTTCCCGGGATATCTTCCTAAGCCCTCTATCTGCACGACATGTTCTGCTGTGTAAACATGTTGCAATGTTGCACCCCAATGTGGGTCCAGCATTCTATATATCTAGCAGGATGCCACTGGGGTATTCATTCTGTGGAGTTCTTCACTGATGCTGCGAAAGGCCCAGTTCTGGGCGGTCGGGCCACATCAAAGCTTCACCCTGGCCATTCCAAAGGGCCTCCGTACGACATCGAGCTGATCCGACTTGGTCTGAAAAAGGATTCTCAATCTACACTGAACAAAGGAGTCTGACATCTCGACTTGTTTTGTAAGATCGGCGAGGTAGCAATACTTCGATCACCCAGCATATGTATCGGACGAATCATCACCGAACGGGGCAAGTACTTTTCGGAAGTCTCAGGTCAACAATGAATGACTTGGACATTCCATGGGTCGAGCACTGGTTCTTGTCAAATCACAAGCAGCGAGAGATACAATTGCAGCCTATGCTGCTTATGCTCGGCAAGTTCAATGCCGATCAACCAAAGCACCAGGAAGGCATAGGTCCCCAGCTGATGCACTTCTCTTCAAGAGCTGGGGCCCACACCTCCCAAAGATCCTGGGCAAGTGCACATCCTAAACCACCCCCAGTCAACTGTGAAGAAGAGGTTTCCACTCGCAATTTTGTATTTTGATCATTTTGATCAAATGTGACACCCACCGCTACTGAGTGCCATAGCCGCTATGAGAGCAACAAGTCGGGCTCCAAGCCCTCACTCCGAGCATGAGTGCCAAGGATGAAAAACGGTGCATTAAAGCTTCAACCGACCCCAAACGGGCCAGAATACAAATGCCTAGGCGCTTCATTGATGGTGCCTCACTTGTTTGTTTGTTATTGTTTTGTAAGGATGGCCCACAAAACCAAACATGTTCAGCCTTCAAGGAGTTCAAATCTTCGGGCCACCCATTACAGGTCTGAGTGGTTCCCCCAAAACGAAGTATGGAAACATGTGTTGCCCGAGTTGAAGGCTACAGTGATCTTCAAACACAGCCGCTTCAACTGCCCAGGCCACTCTCAAGTCCCTCCAATTCCTGATGGGTTCTGAAATTCATTTTCCCATTCCAAAGCCATCATTCCAAAACAGTTTCGGAGACCCCATGGCACCTAAAAGGAGGGTATTGATGAAATAGCGCGTGAGCATGGCTCTTCGCGCACACACACACACATGTGTATATATACATATAAATATACATATATATATATATATATATTTGTGATGTTATAACTAGACCGACCTCTGTTGCTTGGTCTCCTGTAGTGGCGCTCATAGTGTCAACACCTAGGCCCACCGAGGGTGCCTTCAAACGCCCGAACCCCAAAAAACGCCTGCTGGTGCTTCTCGTGGTGCTTCAGCTCACTCAGAAAGGTCTCAACAGCCTCTTCGAGTGGCTGGCAAAAGGCCTTAGTCAGTCCAGCCCTCCCTGGGCACCCTATGTAGGGGTCGTTGGGGATGAAGAAATGGTTCTGGAGGTGGGTCGTTCAAGGGTCCATGGTCCATTTCCTCAAGAGTATGCGACCAAACAAACATCTGAGATGGGAATCCACATTTTGCATACAGTGTGTTGTGCCATCTGCTATGTGCGTTCAGAAGTGAAGAAAAAGACCATTTGTGGTTCCCAGCGCTGACGCGGTCGTACTACTCCACGGCCCAACTTCTGCAGCAAATCCACCAACGAACAAAAGCCAGGGTGGTTAATCGATTGATCATCTGAACAGCCTAGAATCCAACACATCGCAGGCCAGGACACAGAGAAAAATTCTCGTGTGCAACTGGGCATGTCAACCATCCTATCTTGAGAAATGCTGGCCGTGTTGACAATGAGACTAGCCGCTTAGCCGAGCCAAGCAAACAAAGTGATGCCAGCAAGATGGTAACAAACAAACGTGAACACTTAGGCACATTGCCACCAGCTGTCTTGCAACAGCAGTGTTGGACCTGTTGTATTTTCAATTTGCCATCGAAACCAGAAAACTTGAGGACATTCACAGGCCAACGCACAACTCAAGCGCGGCCATGACATTTCCAGCTTACTAAACGAATGCCGTTTTTGATCAGGATGGGAGCAAGATGGTAACGAACCAACGTGCACATTTTGGCACATTGCCTCCAGCTGTCTTGCAACAGCAGTGTTGGACCTGGTGTATTTTCAAGCCGCCATGGCAACAAGACAACTTGAGGACATTCACAGGCCAAAGCACAACCCAAGCCACGTCATTTGCATTATCAGGCATGTATCAACAACCTTGTGAAGCTTGTGACTGGCAGGGAGGGCCACCCAACGGATGGGAGCAAGATGGTAAGGAACCAACGTGCAAATTTTGGCGTATTGCCTCCAGCTGTCTTGCGACAGCAGTGTTGGACCTGTTGTATTTTCAATCTGCCATGGCAACAACGCAACTTGAGGACATTCACAGGCCAAAGCACAACCCAAGACATGACATTTCTACCTTACTATATATAGACGAAAGCTGTGTCTGAACAAGAGCAAAATAAGCCAACCCAGCGATGGGAGCAAGATGGTAACGAAACAACATGCACATTTTGGCACATTGCCTCCAGCTGTCTTGCGACAGCAGTGTTGGACCTGTTGTATTTTCAATTTGCCATCGAAACCAAACAACTTGAGGACATTCACAGGCCAACGCACGACTCAAGCCAGGCCATGACATTTCCAGCTTACTAAACGAATGCCGTTTTTGACCAGGATGGGAGCAAGATGGTAACGAACCAACGTGCACAT